ATTATCACATGAAATCATGAATTGCAAGAAATCAGATTACTTGACAGGGAAGAGATTAAGAATCGTCTAGAACTCAAAACAAAATTGTATGATTGACCTACTCTCATAGTACCAATCACTATGTCTAACAACCTAAGTCTCTAAACTTTCGTTTGATTCTTATAAAGTAAACATGCAGTAAGTCCAAGTTCGATTTGTTCACTAAACTCTATAACTCAACTCTCGCAGGTTATAGCACCTAGCTTATCTAGATTAGTTCACGTGATTTATCAGACTTTTGGAATGTAAATCTACCTAAGTTCAGAAACAAGGTGCGCAGTTAAGCAATCAACATTAAGAACAAATCAATACAAAGAACCATATGGAAATCTCTGTTCTAAGCAATCATCCATTCAGCAACACATCAAAACCCTTTGAATTTCTCAACCAATCTAAGAGAGTACTCAAACATAATCAAAGCAGTCAAGTAAAGAGATGTAGAAGAAATCATGATAAAACTCAATAAGAAGTATAAAGGTTCAGAAATATTCTCTATCAGAGATAGAGAGTTGAGATCTTCTCCTTTGAAGTTCAAAAACAAAAATAAGTAAAAGGTTTAGAATAATATGTGTCTCTCTATGCTCAAGTGGCTAAAAACGTATATGAATAAGTCTTGAACTCTTCTAGGTTGAATTGGAGAAGTTTTGGGCGTAAAAAGAAATTTTTGCTTATTAAGAAATTTTTGCTTATTCTACTTTAAAGACCGGTCTCGTGCAAAAGGAACTGCGTCCGGGCTCTGCGTCCGGTCTAATGGAGGACTGAACTGTGTCCAAGCTTTGTTATTTGATTTTCAAGTAATTCTTAAATTTTATCATGTAATTAGTATTTTTTTTTAGAAAATTTAAAAAATACCACTTTTCATGTGCCACTTTTCAAAAATACCACATTTTCAAAATCTTTGCAAAATACCACTTTTTCAAAATTATTTGTTCATTATATCATTTATGTTTCAGTTAACTATGTTGTATAAGAGTTTAGTTTTGAGGATTTTAGGGGTCA